ACGAAATACCCCAAGTTAGCAGTTTAAGAGGTGTATGACAGATGTCATTGTGTTTCCCTTGAAAATTGAAATTATCCCATAGTGTCGCTAGGAGGTTGATGCAGCTCCTTGGGGGTACCTTGACACAGTCTGGGAATTACAGATGTAGACTGTTTCTATTACTCCCCAAAAGATGCCTGTCCAGCATCCCTCTCTCTTTTTTTACTACCAGTATTTTCATTTTCCTTTATAGGACTATCCCTCCCTCGTTTTTATTTCATATGGTTTGAGTGGCCCTCACTCCAGTCCTGGGCTCCAGCGGAGACATGTAACCAAGGCCCAGCCAATCCGTGCCACAGTTACTGGTTAAGTAAGGGATAATCATGTGACCCACGTGGGGACAATGACAGTTGGCCCTGGGACTCCTGCTGAAATTACCAGGGAAAAGATGCTCTGTTTTGGCCAGATTTGCTAAGCTGGTAGATGTCAGCCTGGGTTTGCCCCAACATGGGAGAGACTGCCTGAGAATAAGGCTGATATAGAAGAAAGAGAGAGGGGGGTGCCTGGGTGGCTAATCGGTTATGCGTCCAATTCTTGGTTTCGGCTAGGGTCATGATCTCCGGGTCATGGGATTGAGCCCCACCTCGGGCTCTGCTCTCAGAACAGAGTCTGCTTGTCCCTCTCCCTCTGCTCCTCCCCCAAACTTGCGCACGCACACACGTCTCTAAAATAAATACATAGGGCGCCTGGGTGGCTCAGTTGGTTAAGCGACTGCCTTCGGCTCAGGTCATGATCCTGGAGTCCCGGGATCGAGTCCCGCATCGGGCTCCCTGCTCGGCAGGGAGTCTGCTTCTCCCTCTGACCCTCCTCCCTCTCATGCTCTCTGTCTCTCATTGTCTCTCTCGCAAATAAATAAAATCTTAAAAAAAATTAAAAAAAAAAATAAATAAAATAAATACATAAATAAAATCTTAGGGGGAAAAAAAAGAAGAAGAAACAGAGAGAGACACACACACAGACACATCATTGGAGCCCCTGGATCTAGCCTGGCCTGAAGCCATTTGTCACTGGATTTCCCAATATTTGAGCTAATAAATTCCTTTTTTTGGCTTAAAGCCAGTTGAATGGGGTTTCTGCCACTTGCAAGTAAGAATCCTGACTAATGTATTATATATATGCATTTATATATATCTATAGTACAGTGCTTTATTGCATATATATTTATATTATATATATTTATTGCATATATAAAGCACTGTACAAATGAAATGAGACCCCACAAGTTCAAAAGTTTCTTTCCAGAGCCAAGGGTCTCAAGATACTTTGGGAGCCCACAGTGTTAGGAACCCAAAAAATATCTGATGTACCCAGCAGACCTGGGTTCAAATTCCAAAATTCCATGACTTCCAAGTTACTTAACATCTCTTAGCCTCAGTATAAAGCAGGGTTGGTCATTTAGATTAAATGGAATCATCCATGTATCATACAGTTCGCTCTTACCGTTATTACTGTCAGCCTTTGTTTTTTAGATAAAGAAACTCAAGCTCAGAGAGGTGGCTTGCTAACAGTCAGATACTAGACAGGTGCAGGCCTCAGGCCTGAACCAGGAACTGTGACTTCCTGTCCAGGGTTCTTTCCACATAATGCACTTCTAAAGAAAGAGACCCGTAAAGCAATGCAAGATGGAAGAGAAACGAAAAGAGTACCCAGGGCACAGACCTGCCTTAGGTAGTGGTTAAGAGTATAGAGCCTGACATTCAACAGCCTGGGTTTGAATCCTGACTCCAGTACTTACAAGACATATGACTTTGGGTATATGATTTTTCCTCTGTAAAATGGGATAACAGGATCTATTTCGTAGGGTTTTAATAAAATAATACTGACCTTCTTGTTACTACCCTATCCCTCTCGTGTCTGTTCTATACACAGCAGCCAGAGGGGTGCCTGTTTCATTGGTAGGAAAGGCCAAAATCTTTACAGTGGCCTACCAGGACCCTGCATTTCTGTGAGGTTAGGTTTAGGGAAAGGCCTCTTCGGGCCACCTCCTTTCTGGATGGGAAGGGGTGGGGTCAGGTTTCCAGTGATGCAAGTCAGGAAACGCTTATTAAATCACCTGCCACGGTGTCTGTAAGTGACCTTCTGTGGTCACACCACAGGCCACAGGGCCAAACATGTGCTGGTCTCAGACTGATGCTCAATTCACCCAGCCAGCCAAAAGCGAAGTCCCCATAGCCACTTGACCTTGCCCCTGAGTCTAGTGAGGCCCTGGCAGATACAAATCACAGTCAAAAGAAAACAGATCCTTTCCTCTAGAAAGTCCCAGAGATTATGACTTTTGCAGGGCGGGGATTCCAAAGACCTTTCCAATCCTCTGGGTCTGACAATTAGGTTTTCTCTTTCCTCCCTTCATTTGAAAAAGGGAAGGAGAGGTGAAACACAGAGATATTAGCTATGACCCCAAGAAAGACAGAATCAGAAAGATACAAACATGAAACCTACAAATCCCAGATTCAGAGGCAGATATAGGAAAATTAAGACAGACAGGAATTTTCTGGTAAAAAAATTAATCCTTCCTTTCTAGTTCCAATCCGTCCACCTGCCTACCTGTTGTGACCTCCCTGCTCTCCAATAAATGTCTCATATCTGAAAGTCTGTCCAACACATACCCAATGACAATGTACACCCTACTTATTATACACATATCCCAGAAACTTTCATCTCAGGAGTTCAAAGCTCTCATATTTATTATGGGGGATATGGAAGTGAGAAGAGAGAGACAGGCCTCCCAGCACAATGACAGACATCCAAACTAAGCATTTAGAGTACTAAGTTCTAGTAGCAGCTTTACCACTCAAGAGCTATGTGACCCCAGTTGAGTGAATTAGATTCTCAAGCTTCAGCTTCCTCATCTATGAAGATATAGACAATGTCTATGATCTTGACTCACGGGGAACTCTGTGGCCTTCCATCTATCACTGGCCTCTGACCCAGGAGTTGTCCACCAAAGCCTGAGGCCAGCAGGGTCCCTGCTCCCCAAAGGCCCAGTCCATTCCAGTTCCCCCATTGCTGAAGAACTGAGTAGGGGACACCACGGTTTCCCCCCAGTCAGCTGTTCTCCAGCCCTTGCTGTGCACCAGGGGACAAAATCCAGAATTCCCAATTCCTCTCTGTCCCTCACACACCGGAACCCCAAAGATACCAAGTAAGAACACAACAACAAATCAAACGTCTCCTTTGCAAGCTCTGCTTGCCAAGACTAGCTATCTAATTGCTGTTGATTGCATTAATTGCATGGCTCTGAAGTGTTAAGACAACTCCTCCTCCTAATGTAAGTCAGGGCAAGGGAGAGGAATTCAGGAACAAAATCTCCACACAAGAAAACTCTTCTCCTGGGCTCCTGGGTGGCTCAGTCGGTTAAGCGACTGCCTTCGGCTCAGGTCATGATCCCAGGGTCCTGGGATCGAGCCCCGCGTTAGGCTCCCTGCTGAGCAGGGAGCCTGCTTCTCCCTCTCCCTCTGCCTGCCACTCCCACTGCTTGTGCTCTCTCTCTGACAAATAAATAAATAGAATCTTTAAAAAAAACAACAAAACTCTTCTCCCACTCCCGATCCTAACACCCCTTCCTGACTCCACAGCTGAACATGACCTGACAGCCCAGTAAGACAAAGTGTTAAGAGGCAGCTGAATCTTCTCGATGGGACTGGAGCCAGAAGGATCCCCTGGGAATTGGATCGGCCCCCAAGCCCTGGACCTGAAGGAAAGGGCACCAACCCACACATGCTGCACAGGCCAAGAAAGGCATACCGGTTCTGGATTCTTTTTCTCTGCTCATTCCTAGAATAGACCCCTCGCCCCCACCTTCCTGCTCCGTCTCTGCTGCACCCCTCTCTTTAAACATCAGGGCCTACTGCCTCAGGTCCAGAAGACCCATCACAATCAATCTCCTCTCCCCTCCTCTGGACACTGTAAGAGGCCCACCAACTGAGACGAGAGGTACATGGACAGGGAAAATGTCATTGCTCCAGCCAAGGATAGGAAGAAGTGGGGTGGAACTGTGCAATGTGATTTCAGGCAAACAGAGCCCAACTTCAGAGAAAACAAACACAATCTAGTTGCTGGAGAGGAAAAAGCCCCATCTCCCAAACTGGTCCAGGAGTCCCTCTTGGCCAACCCCAAGGTTTCATATGAGGTATCTCTAGTCACCTGAGTTGGTAGCTGAGACCTGTCTGAACCTCCTTTCAGTAACAGTTCCTCCCTGCCAGGACCCCACAGGGGCAATTTTCTCAAGGGACCTCTCTTACATCTGCCCTCACCCTACCCGGCATAAGGTCCTGGGCCAGATGGGTGAGGGCTGGGAGCAGCCTCTATCACGGAGGGAGGCAACCCAGCTGTCAAAACTGACAGATGCCATCCACAACGCCAAACTCAGCCTGCAGCAGCGGCACAGAGGAGAGCACAGACAACAGAGCCTCAAAGACGCAGAACAGGGGTCCCTAATCCCTGAGCAAACCCTAGGGGTTCAAGGTGAACGGCTCCCAAGCACATCTCTCAAAATGTAGTTGCAGAAAAGAGGGCTGCCCCACCAGAACAGAGAAGTTGGGCTGCCAAAAGCAGGTGGACGGGGGTGCGGTTAGGCGAGACCCCTGCGGAGGTGGGGGCTGGGCTGTACTGTCAGTCCCAGCACATATCTGTCCCCTCAGGCCTCCCCCACATGACACACCTGGAACTTCCCCTCAGAGGCCACAGACCAACTTTCTGCAGAAAAGGAGGTGCGCGGAGCAAAGAGCCGGTGCGAAGGCGGGGTAATGGGGAGCTTCGACCTGGCGCCCCAAGTGGATGAAGAACTGAAGTGCTGGGAGACAGGAGGGTGCTGGCCCACGAGGACCACCAGCCCCCCAGTGCCCAGCCAGAGGCAGCCGCCTGGACCCTGATGGTCCCCACCGCCCCGGCTGGGTTAGCAGGAAGGGGAAGGCACTGCACCGCAGGTAGCAGAGTTGCGCGACCAGGTGGCCCGGCCCTACCTGCAATTCCTGAAATTCTCCCTCCAGCTCGTGCCACTCGCGCTCGCAACGCTCCAGCTGGCCGGACATGGTGCGGCGGTGCGAGGCGGCGGCGGTGGCAGCTCCCGCAGCGCGGCGCGGGCGGCCACCAGCTCCCCAGCCCGTCCGCCCGCCGGCCGCCTTCGGAGGCACCAGCTGTTCCTGCGCAGCCGGAGCCACGCGCGCACCTGACGTCACAGCCCCCGCCCCAGCGCCCGCCCCACCCCCTCGCCGGGAGGCAGGCCCCCGCGCATGCGCACGCACCGCCCCTAGCTCCGCCCCCGCGCGCCCGCGCGCCGGCTAGTTTTGCGGGTCTTGGCAGGGTCTGTTGCTGCCCCCGTGAGAATGCTTCTGCGCTTCGGATCTCTCTTAGCTGAGGCTGGGGAACTGGTCCACAAGCTGCATTTGCAGAGCTGATTTTACTTAGATTGTGTTTATTTGGGATGTCTGGAGTCGGGAGGAAGGAAGATTTGGGGGAGGTGAAAGCTCACCACCCCTTGGCATTGCCTAACCAGAGCCAAAGCCAACGGCCTGGAATGCTAGAACTGACATTGATCATCCAGCAAGGTCGCCAGGCAGGGCGGGGAAGCGCAGAGAGGGACCCGTCGTCTTACCAGGTCATGACTTACTGCAAAGAATACATCCTAGACTCCTGCCCCCTAAGATTCTGCGTGACTCTCTTGACAGCTGTCTGTCGCTCATATGACACCACTGCCTCCCTCTCCCTGCATGGACCTAACAAGATCTATCCCTGCCTAGCTTCCCAGTCACATCTCCTATCTCACTCCCCCGGATCAGTACTTCCTGACACGGTTTTTTCTTTTCCTACCCTTGAGGGTACATTCCTTCTAAATCTTTATATGGTTGCCTTTGTCATCATTCAAGCCTTAGTTCCAATGACACCTGTATTAATTTCCTGGGGCTGCTGGGGCACCTGGCTGGCTCAGTGGGTAGAGCATGCAACTCTTGATCTCAGAGTCCCGAGTTCAAGCTTCACATTGGACACAGAGCCTACTTACAAAAAAAAAAAAAGGAAGGAAGGAAAGAAAGAAAGGAAAGAAAGAAAAGGAAAGGAAAGGAAAAAAGAAAAGAAAGAAAAGGAAAGGAAAGAAAGAAAGAAAAGAAAGATCCTGGGTCTGCCTTAACCACAAATTGCGCTGTTTAAATACCACAAACTGAGTGGCTTAAACAATAGAAATGTATTCTGTCACAGTTCTGGAGGTTTTGAAGTATAAAATCAAGGTGTCAGCGAAGACATGCTCCAAGACTGGGTAAAATCTTTCCTTGCTTCTTCCTAGCTTGTGGTGGCCCTCAATCCTTAGCATTCCTTGGCTTGCAGCTTCATCCCTCCAGTCTCTGCCTCTGTTGTTACATGGCCTTCTTCCCTGTGTGCTTGTCTCCGTGTCCTCTCCTCTTATAGAGACACCAATCTTACTGGATTTAAGGGTCCACTCCAGCATGACCTCACCTAAGTTGAACTAATTACATCTGCAAAGACCCTGTTTCCAAATAAGGACAACCTTCTGAGGTAATGGGTATTAGAACTTCAACATATCTTTCTGGGGGACACAATTCAAACAGTAAAAACACCTCTGGAAAAAAGACCTTTCCTGAATACCCAGAGCTTCATGCCTCCTCCCAGTCACTTATATGTCACCTGTCTTATTTCCTTCATATAAGCTACCGTTGTGTGAAAGTGTTTGTCTCCATGCTGGTTGTATGAATCCCTCCATGGGTATATAATCTGCATGAGATAAACTCAGGGATCTTTTCTCTGTCTTGGTCATCATCATATCCCCAGAGTTTGGCACACAGTAGGCCCTTAATATTTGTTGAAGGAATAAACATGAAAGATCATCTACTGCAGAGGTTCTCAACTTTTGGGGTTCACAAACCACTCTAAAAACTCTGAATGGGAAATATACACATAAGCACACAGAGAAATATTCAGAATTCTTAACTGATGCCTGAAGAAAAGTGTGACTTATTCAAGATTCCCAGCTAATTAAAGACCGACTTTGAATTATGATTTTCATCCCTGGAGGTTGGAACTTCAGCATATCTTTGGGAGGCACAGTTCAACTCATAACAATACCTCTCAACAAAAGTGAAACAAGGCTTGTTTGCATGCCTGGTTATTGCTGATGGAATGTCAGGCATTGTGAATTTTACCTTGTTGATTGGTTCCCTTCCTCCACCCCTTTTTCTTCTCTTTCTCCCCACCTTCGTCCTCCCCCTCCTTTTGTATTTCAGTTTCCCTAAAAATATATTTTTTTAAAGATTTTATTTATTTATTCATGAGAGACAGAGAGAGAGAGAGGCAGAGGGAGAAGCAGGCTCCCAAGGAGCAGGAAGCCCGATGCGGGACTCGATCCCAGGACCCTGAGATCATGACCTGAGCCGAAGGCAGACGCTTAACCATCTGAGCCACCCAGGTGCCCCTAAATTTTATTCTATTTTTTAATTTTTTTATTTATCTGAGAGAGAATGGGAGACAGAGAGCATGAGAGGGGGAGGATCAGAGGGAGAAGCAGACTCCCCGCTGAGCAGGGAGTCCGATGCGGGACTCGATCCCGGGACTCCAGGATCATGACCTGAGCCGAAGGCAGTTGCTTAACCAACTGAGCCACCCAGGCACCCCCCTAAAAATATTTTTGAGCTTTACATTAGACGCAGTTACTTGGAAACAATTTTATCCTTTCAAATCTTGCTTTTAACATTTATCTGGGACTAAAACAGTGCTCAGTCTAGAGCTGATTTTTCCCCACTACGTGAGGCAAGACCAATACATCATGAAGTTTTCAGTCTGGCTGGTGGGACGAGGCACTATTCCTGGGCCAATGTGAGTGCTGTACACTCTTACTTCTAATCATTTTAGGTGGTTCTTTCCTTGGCCTCAGGTGGTTGTCCTTGCATACATGTTGACCAGCGCTCAGCTGACTGCTGGAGGGGGTTCAGTGGGCCTCTGGATTCTCTGTGTGCAGCTGTTCCCTCTCTACAATTCTAACCTCCTTGGCCCCCCTGGACTCTCAGCTCTATCTTCTCAACTCTGGGGGTCTGCCAGGCTTCACCTGGGATCCCCCTCCCTGCACCATCGCCTGGAAACTCTCTCAGGACAGTAAGTGGGACAATGGTAGAATAACTCCTACAATTTGTTTCCTGTTTCTCAGTGACCCCGTCCTCTGTTGACTGATGTCCAGTGTCTTGAATAAAAAACATAATTTCATGTATATTTTCCCCATTTTGTGGTTGTTTCAGATAAGAAGGTAAATCTGGGGGCGCCTGGGTGGCTCAGTCGTTAAGCGTCTGCCTTTGGCTCAGGTCATGATCCCAGGGTCCTGGGATCGAGCCCCGCATCGGGCTCCCTGCTCTACAGGAAGCCTGCTTCTCCCTCTCCCACTCCCCCTACTTGTGTTCCCTCTCTCGCTGTCTCTCTCTCTCTCTGTCAAATAAATAAATAAAAATCTTTAAAAAAATTCTATATAAAAAGAAGGTAAATCTGGTCCATGTTACTGTATCTTGGCCAGAAGCAGAAGTCAGCATAATGCATTTGGGGTCCGTGTGCATCAACAGTTTGTTTCTTTTTTTCTTCTGCTGAGTATATTTCATTGTGTGCTCGATTTACTTCTCCATTCTTTATCCATTCACCGGCTGAGGGACATTTGCATTGTTTCCAGTTTGGATTGATTATGAATAAAGCCACTATAAACATTTATGTAAATTTTTTAATTATGAAAAGGACAATTTTACGTTAAAATCCAAACTTTAATTTTTTTTTAAAGTAATCTCTACACCCAGCTTGGGGCTTGAACCTACAACCCTATGATCAAGAGTTGCAGGCTCTACCAACTGAGCCAGCCAGGTGCACCTAAAATCCGAACTTTTACTTTCTTTTGAAAAATGGGAAGATCTCATCACACTGGGCTCACATTCCTGCATAGCAATGGACTGGAACAGAGTAAAAATATCCCCTTCACAATGGGCTTGCCACTTGCCACAGTCCTCACCATGCTCAACTGTCTTGCCCCAGACTACTTCATGTATTTATGTAAACTGTAGTCCTTGGGGCCACCTGAGTTTGAGACTCCCACTATAATATGTCATGAAAATTACAAAACCATATGGACCACTCATACGGTGAAAAAACAGAAACAGGTTTACTTAATTGGGGTTAGTGGAATCAAAAAGGAAACACAGGGCCTTGAAGGATGAGGAAAGTGTCACCAAGCAGAGGATTTGGGAAGATGCCCCTCCACCTCTGCTGGCAGCTACTCAGTCCAAGCAGGTCCATCTGCCCCAAGCTACCTCTGGGCGGGAGAGGCTGGGCCTGTCCCCCAGGGAGATCTGGGCAGGTGCACCTTATCTGCAGGCTGGCCAGCTGTCAGGCTGCAAATCTAAGGGACTGTTCTCTCCGTGGGGTCAGGACTCTGTATGCATTATTCACGAGCCCTTTTGTAGATGGCAGGGGCTGGCCACCCCAATCGGCATAGCCAGAAGTATCAGATCTTACCTGGCTGCCACCCTGTCCTGGTTCCTGCCCAAAGTGCTTTCAGACTCACTTGTCAGCTCCTTGGGACTGGATCTGGCTCTGCTTAAGGACTTTGATCACGAGGGGTGAGAAAGTGTGTTATCCTCCTCACCCCCTGCCCACACCACCAGGCGGAAATCTCTCCTATTTGTTCTCTTTAAGGCACTCTACTTAGGAATCTGTCAGTCTGAGACTTTGTACAACCAGGTGGGAAGAATCATAAAAGTAGCAAACACATAACGCTCACTATGTGCCTGGTGCTCTTGTATATACTTCATGTACGTGCATTAATGTATTTAGTCTTCAACAGCCTTGAGGAAGGATCTCTATTCTCCCTGTTTGACAGGTGAATATTTTAAGGCATAGTTTCTCCACCTTTTAATGGGATCAAGAACTACCTTCTGAAGATCTCATTAAATGCAGATTCTGATTCACTAGGTGCTAGGAAGGGCCAGTGATCCTGTAATTCTACAAGCTCCCAGCCAATATCATTGGTCCGAGGACCACATTTTAAATAGAGAGAGTCCAAGTTGCAGAGAGGTGAAGTAACTTATCCAAGACCATCCAGCTACTTGAGCATTACAGGATGCCAAGAGCTAATTCTAAAAAAAGAGCATCTGTCCAAGGAGAACTGAAAATTCCACGGACTTTCCCTTCATCTGCTTCCCACAAATGCCCTTGCTCAAAATAGTCCCCAAAGATTTTAACAAGCAATTTGGGCAAAGATGTTTATAGCAGCACTTTTTATAAAGATTTTATTTATTTATTTGACAGAGAGAGAGAGCACAAGTAGGCAGAGAGGCAGGCAAAAGGAGAGGGAGAAGCAGGCTCCCTGCTGAGCAGGGAGCCTGATGCGGGGCTCGATCCCAGGACCCTGGGATCATGATCTGAGCTGAAGGCAGCCACTTAACCAACTGAGCCACCCGGGTGCCCCAATATAGCAGCACTTTTTAGACCGCTGGAAACATCCCAAATGCCCCACAACAGGGAAACGGTGAAGTAAGCTGTAGTCTGTTTCATATAATACTATATGGCTGTTAAAATGATCAAGCTGTAGTCTATTTCATATAATACTATATGGCTGTTAAAATAATCAGTATGGGAACTAAATGGATGCCTATAAACAGGTATATTAAATTGTGTTAAGTAAAAAAGTAGAGCCCAAAATACTGTGTATATACTGGTTAAAGGCACATGGTCATTCCTGCACCCTGAAAAAGATTGGGTGAATTTAGTATAACAGAAATAGTCCATCATGTAAATTGATGGAATTTTTTTTTCCTGAAATGTTTTTCAGGTGTTTGATAGAAATTGTAAGCCCCTATCTTTCTGTTCATGGCTTTTTTTTTTTTTTAAGTTTTATTTATTTAAGTAATCTCTATGCCCACCCTGGGGCTCGAACTCACAACCCTGAGATCAAGAGTCATGCGTGCTCTTCCGACTGAGCCAGCCAGGCGCCCCAGTTCACAGGTTTATAATGTAAACAGCAAGCATTATTATGAAATTTCATTGGGGCGCCTGGGTGGCTCAGTCGTTAAGCGTCTGCCTTCGGCTCAGGTCATGGTCCCAGGGTCCTGGGATCGAGCCCCACATCGGGCTCCCTGCTCTGTGGGAGGCCTGCTTCTCCCTCTCCCACTCCCTCTGCTTGTGTTCCCTCTCTTCCTGTCTCTCTCTGTCAAATAAATAAATAAAACCTTAAAAAAAAAAAAAGAAATTTCATTTATTTAGTGTTTACTCTTCAGGTATCAAAATGCCCTTTCTATCCTTGTTCAGTTATTTGCATTACTGCACCTAACTGGGGCTGAAGTCCTGGCTGGAAGGGCATGTGATTTCTTTGGCCCAGCCAAACCCGAGTTCAAACCCCAGCCCTCCCACTTGTCAGATGCATGACCTTGAGTCCATAATTCGCCTTCTCTATAAACAGGGATTGCTCTCGTAGTACTGTCGTGAGGATTAATGCATTGATGTAGATAAAGTGCCCAACACTATGTAAGTACCAGTAAGCACTGATATATTTGGGTTTTCAAAAAAAATAAACATTTTATTTTGGGATACTTTTAGATTTACAAAGCTGCAAAGAAAAGTACAGACAGTTCCCACATACTCTTCACTCAGTTTTCCCTCATGCTGACAATTTACGTAACCATGACACCTTTATCAAAACCAAGAAATTTGGCGCCTGGGTGGCTCAGTCAGTTAAGCATCTGCTTTCGGCTCAGGTCATGATCCCAGGGTCCTGCATCAGGCTCCCTGCTCAGTGGGGAGTCTCCTTTTCCCTCTTTCCCTCCCCTCCCACTCGTGTGTGCTTTCTCTGTCGCAAAAATAAATAAATTAAATCTTAAAAAAAAAAAACACAAGAAATTAACACAGGCATATTACTATAAACAAACCTCCAGACTTTATTCAGATTTTTCCAGTTTTTCCATTGATGTTCTTTTTCTGTTCCAGAATTCAACCTGACATGGCACTTAGGCTTCCTGTCTTTAATAGTCTCCTATTTCAGTGTTTCCTTGGTTATCATGACCTTGACAGCTTTGAAGGGTAATATATATTGTTGTTGTTTTAAGTAAACTCTCCCAACAGGGGACTCGAACTCACAACCCTGAGATCAAGAGTCGCATGCCTTACCGACTGAGCCAGCCAGGTGCCCCTATATATTGTTTTAATAATAGCTTTATCGAGATACTGTGATGATTAATTTCATATGTCAACTTGACTAGGCCACACAATGCCCAGATGTCTGGTTAAATGTTATTCTTGGTGTGTCTGTGATGGAGTTTCTGGAAGAGATTATTTGAATCAGTAGATTGAGTAAAACAGACTGTCTTCCCCAATGTTGGGGGGCTCATCTAATCAGTTGAAGGTCTGAATACAACAAAAAGGTGGAGAGAATTCTCCCTCTCTCTCTGCCTGACCACTTTAGCTGGGACATCAGTCTTCTACTGCCGTCGGACAGGGATTTACAGCATCAACTCTCCTGGGGTGTTTTTTTTTTACCTCTCCTGGTTTCTCAGACCTTTGGACTTGGGCTAGAACTTTTACCATTAGTTTTCTGGTTCTCAGGACTTCAGACTCAAACAGGAAGTACACATTTTGCTTATCCATTCATTGGTTGATGGCAATTCAGGTTGTTTTCACTTTTTGGCTATTGTGAACAATGCTGCTATGACATTTGTGTACAAGGTTTTGTGTGGACATGTGTTTTCTTTTCTCGTATTATACCTAGGAGTGGGATTGCTGAGTAATTTCTGTGTTTCTCTTTTTTTTTTTAAGATTTCATTTATCCATTTGAGAAAGAGAGAGAGAGAACGAGTCGGGGGGGGCGGGGAGGGGGGAGAGGGAAAGGGACAAGCAGACTCCCTGCTGAGCACAGAGCCTGACACAAGGCTCAATCCCAGGACCTTGAGATCATGACCTGAGCCAAAGTCAAGACACTTAAACCGACCGAGCCATCCAAGTGCCCCTGTGTTTAACATTTTGAGGCACTGCCAAACTGTTTTCCAAAGTAGCTGCCCATTTTACACCCTCACTAGCAATGCATGAAGGCTCCAATTTCTCCACATCCATGTCAACACTGCTTATTGTCTGTGTTTTTCATTTTAGCCATCCTTACAGTTTTGTATGGAGTGTATCTCATTGTGGTTTTAATTTTGTGTTTTCTTAATCGCTAAAAATGTTGAGTGTCTTTTCATGTGTTTATTGACCATTTATATATCTTCTTTTGGAGAAATGTCTATTCTAATCCTTTGCTCATTTTTAAATGGGGCTATTTCCCTTTTTTATTGTTGAGTTGTAAGGGTTCTTTATATCTTCTGGATACAAGTCCCTTTCATATACACAATTGCAAATATTTTCTCCCTTTCTGTGATTTGACTTACATACATATAAAAATTTTTAACTTATTTAACAATCTCAGACTTAAGGAAAAGCTGCAAGTACAGTACAAAGCACTGCTTTTTCAACCCATCTGGGTGTAGATTTAAAAAAAAAAATTTATCCTTTCTATTATTAATTTTCTAGTGAAAATTTCCCCAACCTCCAATGGCCAGAGATGCGCAGAAGGAAGTGCTTGATAAAGGTTTAGAAACTGAACACTTCCTAATTCACCTCAAAAGCCGAATGCCATCTCAGAATACAAAAGGAATGTATCTGTAGACACCCTTGCTGTCCTCATTTGTTGCAGACACAAAAGCCCTATATGATGAGTCCCAGCCATTCCTACTATTTTGAAGGTCCTCTGTGAAACAAAAGGGAGAAAACATCGAGCGTCTATGTTTTTCTTTGTTCGATGCATTTGAAGAATGAAGTCTAACAGTTTCCCAGTGAAGCCGTATGTACCAGATTCCTTTGTATGATGGAAGATATTGGAGGAAGATTGTAGATAATAGGAAATTCACAAAAACGTTTTCCAATGACTAGGCGGAGTGTTGGCTGCTTTTTAGGTTTTTGTTTTGGTTTGCTTTTTAGGCTACAAGATTAAGTCTTGTTTCATTGCACCACCTGCTGGCGACTTCTCAGAAATTTCTGTTTCTTCCAACAAAAGGCAAAAAGGCTTGTTCAACAGATTAACAAATATTCTTTTTTCTCCCACCTAAAAAACTACCATTCACAGAGTATGGGTGGTAGAACTATTTCAATGCTCTTCATCTTTAATAAAACAAAACAATTTCCAAATTTCCAACAATAACCTTTTTATTGTGACATATATATATATACACAGAAAAGTACAATTTTTATGTAGTTTAAATAAATTATAAAGAGAATCTGTACAACTAAGACCCACATCAAGAATAAGGTTGCCATCACTCTAGATAATCCCATGTCCTTCTTCCCTAATCATAACTTTCTCCCTCCCTCCCCACAAAGGTAACCACTACCTTGATTTTGGGATAGTCATTTCAGCATATACTACTTCTAGAACCAGAAAACAACTGAAGTATTAATTTTTAAAAATAGTGTAAAACTTGGGGCACCTGGGTGGCTCAGTTGGTTGAGCGTCTGCCTTCAGCTCAGGTCATGATCTGGGGGCCCGGGGAGTCTGCTTCTCCCTCTGCCCCTCCCCCCACCATTCTCTTTCTCTCAAGTAAATGAATAAACACTTTTTAAAAAAATGGTATAAAAATTTTGGTGTAGCTATTTAATCTGAAAACTTATGTGATTATTCCTGCATTTGACACATATCTACTGAGTTCAACATTGTTATAGTCATTGGGGAATAAAAATCAAATCATGAGATACCATTTCACACCCACTAGAATGGCTAAAGTTAAAAAGACAGACAATTGGGGTGCCTGGGTTACGCAGTTGGTTAAGCATCCAACTCTTGGTTTCGGCTCAAGTCATGATCTCAGGGTTGTGAGATCGAGCCCCACGTGTGGGGCTCTGCGCTCAGTGGGAAGTTTGCTGGAGAGTCTCTCTCTCTGCCCCTCCCCCACTCTCTCACTAAAATAAATAAATCTTAAAAAAAAAAAAAGACAGACAATACAATACCAGGGTCACCTGGCTGGCTCATTCAGTAGAGCAGGTGACTTTTAATCTCAGGGTTGTGAATTTGAGCCCCACTTTGGGTGTGAAGATTACTCAAATTTTTTTTTAATTTTTAAAAACTTATTTTAGGGGCGCCTGGGTGTCTTAGTAGGTTAAGCGACTGCCTTCGGCTCAGGTCATGATCTCAGGGTCCTGGGATGGAGTCCCACATGGGGCTCCTGGCTTGGCAGGGAGTCTGCTTCTCCCTCTCCCTCTGTCCCTGCTTGTGCTCTCTCTCTCTCTCTCAAAGAGATGAATAAAATCTTTAAAAATATGTATTTTTAAAAAGACAATACCAAATGATGGCAAAGATATAGAGAAATTAAAACCCTCATAATGTTACTTGTGGGAATGCAAAATGGTGCAGCCACTTTGGAAAACATTTGGCAGTTCCTCAAGAAGTGACACATGGAGGGAGCATCTGGCTGCTCAGTTGGTAGAGTGTATGACTCTTCATCTCAGGGTTGTGAGTTCAAGCCCTATGTTGGGTGTAGAGAGTACTTTAAAAAAATAATAAAATCTTAAAAAAAAAAAAGTCACCCATGGACTAATCATCTGACCCAGTAATTCCACTCCTAGGTGTACCACTGAGAGAAAACATATGCCTACACAAAAACTTGTACACAGATATTCATGGTAGCTTTATTCCAAATAGCCAAAAAGCATAAATAGCCCAAACGTCTGTCAACTGATGAATGAACAAAATGTGATATACCATATCATAGAACATTATTCTGCTATAAAACAGAATGGTGTGTGTGACGACTGGCTGCCTTAGTCAGTGAAGCGTGCGACTCCTGACTCTTGGTGAACAGTTCAAGCCCCATGCTGAGCATAGATATCACTTAATAAGAAAAATTAAAAACAAACCAAAACAGAACAAAGTACTCACACATGCTACCACATGGAAGACCCTTGAAGTCATTATGCTATGTGAAAGGAGTCAGTCACAAAAGACCATATAACTGTGCACTACCATGTATATGAAATGTCCAGAATAAGCAAATCCATAGAGACAGAAAGTAGATTAGTGGTTGTCAGAGAATGGGGATGGGGGAAGGGGAGAGACAGTGACTGCTAAGGGTGTGAGGTTTCTTTGGGGGATGATGAAAATATTCTGGAATTAGATAGTGCTGATGGCTGCACAAGTCTGTGAATATACACTGAATTGTGCACCTCAAAGAGTGAATTTTATGGTAGGTGACTCACATCTTAAAAGTTGTTACAAGTAATATATATTTTTGGGTGCCTACTATGCACCAAGCACCATGCTAGGCACTGGGATTACAATAATGAGCAAAGCTAGATAGAGCTCTTATTCATATGTAATGTATGTCATATTAAATATTGCACCACACAAAAGATACTGGAAGATCATCTAAGGGAAGGCAATACAGAAGTATAGAAGTATTGAATCAATATGTTGTACACCTGGGCGCCTGGGTGGCTCAGTTGGTTAAGCGACTGCCTTCGGCTCAGGTCATGATCCTGGAGTCCCTGGATCGAGTCCCGCATCGGGCTCCCTGCTCGGCGGGGAGCCTGCTTCTCCCTCTGACCCTCCCCCCTCTCATGTGCTCTCTGTCTCTCTCATTCTCTGTCTCAAATAAATAAATAAAATCTTCAAAAAAAATGTTGTACACCTGAAACTAATAAAACACTATGTCAATTATACTTCAATAAAATTTTTTTAATTAAAAAAAAAAGAATTATGAGATGAACACCTCCCATGTAACCACAACCCAGGTCAAGAAATAGAACACTGCCTTCCAGCTATAAAACAAGTAAGTCACTGGGGGCACCTGGGTGGCTCAGTCAGTTAAGCATCCAACTCCTGATTTCAGCTCAGGTCATGATCTCATGGTCTTGAGAATGAGCCCCATGCTGGGTTCTGTGCCGTGTGTGGAGCCTGCTTAAGATTCTCTCTCCCTTTCCCTCAAATAAATAAATAAGTCATAGGAATATAATGTACAGCATAGGGAATATAGTTAATAATATTGTAATAACTTTGGGGCACCTGGGTGGTTCAGTCAGTTAAGCGTCTGCCTTCAGCTCAGGTCATGATCCTGGGGTCCTGGGATCGAGCCCAGCATCAGGCTCCTTGCTCAGCAGGGAGTCTGCTTCTCCCTATCCCTCTGCCTGCCACTCCCCCTGCTTGTGCTGTCAAATAAATAAGATCTTTTAAAAAAAATTTTTTAATACATAAACAAAAATTTTAAATTTTTTTAAAAATAAAAAAATCATTTAAAAAATAATGATATTGTAATAACTTTGTAGGGTGACGATTGGTAGCTAAACTTATCATGGGGATCATTTTGTAATGTATAAAAATATTGAATCACTACGAGGTACACCTGAATAGGATTTTGTATGTCAGTTATATTTCAATTAAAAAAAAAGAAATAGGGGCGCGTGGGTGACTCAGATGGTTAAGCGTCTGCCTTGGGCTCAGGTCATGACCCCAGGGTCCTGGGATCGAGTCCCGCATCGGGCTCCGTGCTCCTTGGGAGCCTGCTTCTCCCTCTGCCTCTCTCTCTCTCTCATGAATAAATAAATAAAATCTTAAAAAAAAAAAAGAACGAAATAGAACATTGACAACCCCCAAAGAGTCGCCCATGCTGATTCACAATCCCCTTCCTTTCCCCAGAGGTAACCACAATCCTATTTCTTTTGCTTTTCCTTGTAGTTTTTACTATTTATCTTTGCATCCCTAGATGACATAGATTTGTTTTTCCTAGCTTCGAAATTTTCTAAATGAAATTATACTTTATTTTCTTTTTGTTGTTTATTTTTATGCTGGTCTTCTTGCATGCAACAGTATGTTTAAGACTCATCTATGCTGGGGTGCCTGGGTGGCCCAGATGGTTACACGTCTGCCTTCGGCTTAGGTCATGATCCCAGGGTCCTGGGATCGAGCCCCACATCAGACTCCTGGCTCAGCAGGGAGCCTGCTTCTCCCTCTCCCTCTGCCTCTCATGCTCTCTCTCTGTCTCTGTATCTCTGTGTCTCAAATGAATAAATAAAATCTTAAAAAAAAAAAAAGAGGCTCTACGCTGCATATGACTCTAATTTGTTTTCGCTGTTAGGATGTTCTCGTGCGTGAATAGCACACAAGTGGTTTACCCTTCTATCACTGATAAACAGTCAGGTCACTTCCTGCTCGGGATGTGTACAACAATGCTACAACAGCTTCGTGTCTATTTATCCTGGCACACAGCTAGTTCATTGCCGTTCTTACCTTTAACTGCACCAGATCATACCAAAGTGTCTTCCAAAGCGGTTCACACTCCCTAAAAGAGTTCGAACCTTCTGCCTTTTTGAAGTACTTTTGAAAAGTCTATTTCATTTGGCTGATGGCTTACAAAAAATCTAAGTGCATTTTCAGGAAAGCCGCTATTGGGCTATTTGAAATGGGGAGGAAGAGAGACACCTGGCTGCCTTAACCAAGGCCAACCTAGATCAGCCACCTGAAAATAAATAAGCTACAGAAATGCTTATTGCTGTATGCCACTCAGAACAGGTTGCTGTTTGTTTTACTACAAAAGCTAAATGAGACAACCGGGATAGGGAACAGATTTATGATACAGAACTCTTCTTTGGAATGGCACCTAACATCATGAAATTTTCTTATTAATATTTATACTTATGGGCTGCTATGGCCTAAATGCCCTATCCCCCCAAATTCACATGTTGGAACCCCAATGCCCAATGTGATGGTATTAGGAAGTGGGGCCTTTGGGAGGTGATTAGACCATGAGAGTGGGGCCTTCATAAGTGGGATTAGTGTCCTTATAAAAGAGACCCCACCATGTGAGAATACAGTAAGAAGTCTACAACCCAGCTGACCATGCTGACACCCTTATTTTGGACTTTCAGCCTCCAGACTGTGAGAAATAAAATTCTATTGTTTATAATACCAGCCTGTGGTATTTTGTTCCAGCAGCCTGAAGGAACTAAGGCAGAGCCTAACATTTTGAGTAATGAATGAGGTCCGTATTATTTGCAACACAATTTCAATTTCATTCATCAATATAAGTGTAGCTATGTATTGTTGCTACATATATATATGAGAAAACATTTGGCCTTCAAAGTCAAAAAATATTTATTAGCTTTACAGAAAAGACTTGCCCAATGACAATTTTCCCTCTGGTTCTGGGAGGTGGGGGTCACTTTCCCTGGACAAAACGGAAGCTCATACACTTGGAGATCTCATATCAAGGAGAAAAGGGCATTGAATTTCAGTAGCAACCAAGAATGTCCACCACAGTCACCCACTCTATCTGCCCATATTATCATGGCCCAGGACATGTGTGAAGACACAGGACAAAGTCAGTATCGAATACAGTGATTATATCATAGGAGAAAATGAAGTAGGTTGGGGAAGGGGCCAGCTTTTCAACCATTCACTAGAGTTGAAAGGACTGACAGTTGGGGGGCCTGGCTGGCTCAGTTAGTAGAGCATGTGACTCTTGATCTCAGGGTCCTGAGTTCAAGCCCCACGCTAGGTGTGGAGGCTACTTAAAAACAAAAAAGAAAAAAAAGGACAGTTATTATCTTCATAGGTCTTTTGTCATCTTTTAAAGAGGCAAAGACAATACAATTATACTTTATTCAACCATCCATTTATTCATCAAGTATTTATTAAGGACCTATGGGGAATTGTATTCATTTCCTAGGCCTGCTGTAACAAAGTACCAGAAACTGGGAGGCGTTAACATCAGAAATGTATTGTCTCACAGTTCTGGAGGCTAGAAATCTGAAATCAAGGTGTCTGTAGGGGTGGTTCCTTCTGGAAGCTCAGATATGTTCCATGTTCCTCTTCTAGCTTCTGGTGATGTTCCTGCCATCTTTTGTATTCCTTGGCTTGTGGCAGCATCTCTCCAATCTTACTTGGCATTCTGCTTGTGTCTGTCTCTGTCCATATTTTCTCTTTGCATAAGGATACCAGCCATATCGTATTAGGACCTACCCTAATGACCTCATCTTAACTTGATCATCTGCACAGACCCTCTTTCCAAATAAAATCACATTCACAGGAACTGGAGATCAGGATTTCGATGTCTTTGGGGGAAACACAATTCAACCCATGACAGGAACATGTTTGGAGGCTTACAAGGCCACAGCATCCTTTTTTTTTTTGAATTAAGATTTTATCTGAGAGAGAGAGAGAAAGCAAGAGAAAGCAAGAAAGAGTACGAGCCCGGAGGTGGGGGGAGGCAGATGGAGAGGGAGATTCCCCGCTGAGCAGGGAGCCAGATGCGGGGCTAGATCCCAGGACCCTGGGATCATGACCTGAGCCAAAGGCAGACGCTTAACCGACTGAGACACCTAGGCGCCCCAAGGCCACAGCATCCTTATACTCAGCCTTAAAGGAGTGGGGAAAAAGCCAAGGAAGGAAAATAGGAAGAGGGAAATATAGCAGAGGGGAAGAGAAGAGAAAGGACTACAAAAGAGAGAAAAAGAGAAACGTTGGAGGAGGGAGGCAGGACCAAGTACATAACTTGTGCGGCCCAGTGCAAAATGACAATGTGGGATTCCTTGCTAAAAAATTAAGAATTTCAAAATGGTGACAGCAGAGCATTAAGCCAAGCACAAGGCCCTTCTTTAGCATGAGGCCTGTGTGACTCCTCTATGGGTAAAATGGTACTAATGGGTGTACTGTGAGTCCATTTAAGGTGTCCTTGTTCAGTTTTTCAGTACTTTTCTGTGTTCCTTGCAAGTCACCTATGAAGCAATTCCTTCTTTCTACAACAGGTGCATTCTTGGGTTAAGACCCTTCTAAGATCCAATCTCTCAAGGAGAAAATAGTTTAGGAAGATGGTGGCTATCCAAAAGGGAAAATCTTGGGGATCCTGGGCGGTTCGGTTGGTTGAGCACCCGACACTTGATTTCGGCTCAGGTCATGATCTCGGGATCCTGGGATGGAGCCCCCCCCTCAGATGCTTGCTCAGTGGTGAGTCTGCTTTAGGATTCCCTCCCTCTGGCTGCAGGAGCCATGTGCCCACAGTCTCTCTCAAATAAATAAATAAATATTTAAAACAAACAAACACAAAAGGGAAATTTTTTTCTCCCTAGCCCCACGTAATGTCTGAGTAATTTCCTCAGAATACCCAAGAATCACTTTTCCTTTCAGTTGTTTGGATTCTTGATTAGGATTTGTAACTTGGCATGGAAGTTTCTCTGCTCACCAGCTTACACTTCCTTAGACAGTTTTCCAGGTGCTCCCTGCTTAACCAGGTCACTGTGGTCAAAAAGTCACCTTCTGCCTCGTGCCCTGTATCAAAGCAAGTTCAAGAAAACACACAGGTTCCTGACCACCAGATTTGGTTCCAAACATCCTCAGCTTGGCATCTAACCTCCTCTCTCCCAGGCTACCCGACTATGTTCATAGAACAGCATCTCCTATGTTCTCTGAGGTTACCCTCCCCTTTTCAGTCAAGACAGTCTCCAGAGCCACTTTACACTATCATTCCTAGTCCAAGCCCTTGCCCAGGCTAGTCCTACCCCTGAACCCCACGGTGTGAACTTTTCAAGGGCAGGGGCTGAATTATATTCACCTTTGAATCTCCAGTATCCAGTAAGGTGCACACGTATAAAACACAACGTGCTTTCCACAAATGCCTATGGAATAAAGTTGATGAACTGACACAAGGGACTTCCAAAGCATTTACAATTTTTTTTAAAAGATTTTTTATTTATTTTTATTTGACACAGGGACAGAGATAGTGAGAGAGAGAGAGAGCATAAGCAGGGGGAGCGACAGGCAGGCAGACGGAGCGGGAGAAGCAGGCTTCCCGCTGAGCAGGGATCATGACCTGAGCCGAAGGCAGCTCATGACTGAGCCACCCAGGCGCCCCAGCATTTACAATTTCAAAGACACAAAATCACTTACCTCGATGCAGACTTCTTTTCCGCCTCTTACTGAACGTGACTTCCAGACGGTTTCCTGTCTCCTAGGACGAACGTTTCTGTGGGCAAGAACATGTTCCTCTTGAATTTTTTGTCATAATACTTGTTTTCAAACTGGGCACATAGAAGGCATTCAAATCTCCCTGAGTCCTGAAGCCTTCTTTCTAGAAGGTAAAATTCATAGGGGAAAAAAGGAAACTTAGGGGAAATCCTCCCTTTCCCTAAAACCTGCATTTAACATACATGTAAACAGAACAATCTTGTAAAACCTTTTTTAGATGGACAAGTAAGTTCTCTGTGATCACATTCTGGTCTTTACATTTCTAGGTTCACGAATCTGGGACAGCGCCCCAACTCTGCTTTCCATTCAGTTAGCATTTGCCGCGTTTTCTCCCTCCGCCCTTTAGGCTTAGGAATACGACCCGCCCACTTCCGGCAGGGGCATCCACAGCGCAGGCGCAACTCCAGACGCCACTCTACAACCCCTCGTTCTAGTGCTGATGTACGCGCATGTGCAAAAAGGGGCGGGCTGGTTAATAGCGCGGGAGAATGTAGGCCCGCCGAACTCGCGCGACTGTCTCCGCCCACCTAAGTCGGCGGGCGGAGCCGACTGCCCTCTCCAGGTTCAGGCAGCGCACGCGCACTTTAGTCCAGGAACGTGGCGAGGGAACGAGGGCAAGCTTTTACGCATGCTCATTTAAATGAGGCCTGGAGCTTTTCCCGTCAGCTACGTCTGCGGCCTCCTTTCCGTCTTAACCCGCCTCTGACGTTTAAAGGGCCAGAGCCTTTTTCCACCCAATTGATTTTTTAAAAGTTAAGCATTTATGGAGAACCTCGTATGTGCGGGGCCCAATTTATATTGTCTTCTGTGTACATTTTCCAGCTTTTCCTTTTGTAGAAATTACGTTAGTATTTATATTTTTCATAAATTTCTTCCCTTGGCCCAAGTGTACTGTTCCCTTGGAGGCAATTCTCTGAAATGAGAGTCAGTGTGAAGTTCTGGGCGGGTCTTCCTAGGTTAAGGGGTCTGAAACTGAATCCTCGCTCGGCCACTTCCTTGGTCTTTTTTTTTTTTTTTTTTTTTGAGACAGAGAGAGACAGAGAGCATGAGAGGGAGGAGGGTCAGAGGGAGAAGCAGACTCCCTGCCGAGCAGGGAGCCCGATGCGGGACTCGATCCCGGGACTCCAGGATCATGACCTGAGCCGAAGGCAGTTGCTTAACCAACTGAGCCACCCAGGCGCCCCACTTCCTTGGTCTTTTACTCTGGATAGGTTATCTAATTTCTGTGAACCTGAGGTTGCTGACTTTTTAAAATGAGGATAAGGATTCCGACCTATCTCATAGGATTGTTATGAAAAGTACTTAAAAAAAAAAAAAAGTATGGGGGCGCCTGGGTGGTTCAGTGGGTTAAGCATCTGCCTTTGGCTCAGGTCATGATCTCAGGGTCCTTGCTCAGTGGAGAGTCTGCTTCTCCCTCTCCCACTGCCATTCCCCCTGCTTGTGTTCTCTCTCTCTGTCAAATAAATGAATAAAAATTTAAAAGTAATAACAAATATTTAAAAAGAATGTAAAGTACCAAGTACTATGCCTCACACCAGCTATATGTTAAGTAAATAAATAGTAGTCATTAAGTGGAATTAATTCAGTCAGAAAATAGTTTTATACTTTCTGTAACATAGTTCCAGATGGTTTTTCAAGAGGATTTACCTAATTGCCTGGATGGCTAGCAGTATGTAATGGTGCCTCTTTCCCCACAGTGCTGCCAATATCACAGACCATCATTTTTACACATTTTTCCTAGTCTAGACAGTATGTAATGGTATGGCAGGGTTATTTTAACTTTCATTTCTTTAATTGCTAGTGAGGCTGTGCATTTTTCTTTGGGATGATTTATTAGCTGTGTTTGTTTGCCAAACAACTATTTTCAAACCGTGTAATTTCTACCAGCTTATCCTTGTAGACATTATGTTAGGTTCTGACAGAGAATTTTGCTGATCAATTAAAAAAAAAGAAAGAAAGAAAAGAAAAAAAGGATTTGACAGAGAGAGAGAAATAAAACTTTCCAAAGACGGGATAGTGACAAAAGATAAGAGCTCATCCCCAAAGCAGCACTGTCCTGTAGAACTTTCTATGATAAAGGAAATGTTCTGTATCTGCAATGTCCCATATAGTAACCAGTTGCCACATGTGTCTAAATACTAAACACTTGGAATATGACTGGTGTCACTGAGGAATTTTTATTTTATTTTATTTTATTTTTTAAGGTTTTATTTATTTGACAGAGAGAAAGAGCCAGAGAGGGAACACAAGCAGGGGGAGTGGGAGAGGGAGAAGCAGGCTTCCTGTGGAGCAGGGAGCCTGATGCGGGGCTCGATCCCAGGACCCTGGGATCATGACCTGAGCCGAAAGGCAGATACTTAATGACTGGGCCACCCAGGCGCCCCAGGAATTTTTATTTTTATTCAACTTAAATTTCCATAAAAATAGCCACCTCCTTGATAGAGTAACCCCAGAGATTAGGAAAGAAGGAGAGAAAGCAAGGGAAAAGAGGAGCTCTACAGAATCGGAAGTGGCCTCATTTATGTGAAGGGACTCAGGGTGCCTGGCTGGCTCAGCTGGTAAAGTTCAAGCCCCATGCTGGGTGTAGCAATTACTTTAAAATAAATAAATAAAATCAATCAATCAATCAGTCTCTCTTTTTTTAAGATTTTATTTATTTCTTTGAGACAGAGAGCACAAGCAGGGAGGAGGATCAGAGGGAGAGGGAGAGGCAGACTCCCAGCTGAGCAGGGAACCCAATGTGGGGCTTGATCCCAGGATCCGGAGATCATGACCTGAGCTGAAGGCAGACGCTTAACCATCTGAGCCACCCAGGCGCCCCTAAATAAATCTCTTTTTAAAAAAAATAAAGGGGGGACGCCTGGGTGGCTCAGTTGGTTAAGCGTCTGCCTTCAGCTCGAGTCATGATCCAAGGGTCCTGGGATGGATCCCAGATCAGGCTCCTTGCTCAGTGGGGAGCCTGCTTCTCCCTCTGCTGCTCCCCCTGCTTGTTCTCTCTCTCTCTCTCTGACAAATAAATAAAATATTTTTTTAAAATATGAACGGGGGCGCCTGGGTAGCTCAGTCAGTTAAGCAGCTGCCTTCGGCTCGGATCATGATCTCAGGGTCCTGGGATCAAGCCCTACATCGGGCTCATTGCTCATCCGGGAGCCTGCTTCTCCCTCTCCTTCTGCCTGCCGCTCTCCCTGCTTGTGCTCTCTCTCTATATCTCTCTGTGTGTCAAATAAATAAATAAAGTCTTAAAAAAAAATATGAAGGGACTCAAATTGGACTTTTGGCATTGTTCCTGAGAGAGACAATCCCAGAGACCACCAGTCTTGACAAGAAGGGTGTGTTTGGTCTGCAAAAATCTATCAAGCTATACATTGATGATATTTCCACTTTTCTATATGTATTTTACACTTCAATAAAAAGTTAAACAACGTTTGCTGCACTTTGTATTACCCTCTTTAGGCATTTCTCTCTCTGATTTTTAATTTGGCCGAATGAAAAATGAAAAACAATGGAAGGTGGCCAGTGACCCACTCTGGATGTGTGAGAGCCCCTAGAGGGCGCTCATCCCGCATCGGAGACTTTTTAAAAAAGCATTTTATTAGAGAGAACTCAGGTATCATACAATTCATTTAAAGTGTACGATTCCATGGTTTTTAGTATGTTCAGTGTTGTGCAGTCATCATCACAGTCAATTTTAGAATATTTTAGAATATTTTCACCCGCCCCCCCGAAAGAAAGCCCTTTTCCCTTACTATCACCCTCTTAACCCCTCGTCTTCCCTCCCAAGTAACAATTCATCTACTTTCTGTCTCTGTAGATTTGCTTATTCTGGATATTGTATCTGGCTTCTTTCACTTAGCACAATGTTTTCAAGGTTCACCCAGGCTGCAGCTTGTCTCGGTGTTTCCTTTTTATGGCTGAATAATATTCCATTATATGGACAGATGACATTTTGCTTATCCATTCATCTTTTGATGGACATTTGAGTTGCCTCAAACTTTTGTTGATTATGTGCACTGGCGACTTTTGCCGGTCCTGACAGGTGGGTCCTTCCTGCCACTTCTGGGAGATTGAGACCCAGGTTACTCAACCCCAGAAGACCCCATTCTCATTTTATTTAGATGGTGCTCTCAGGAGTGGCCTGCAGTGTGAATGCCCCCCCAGAGTTGGCAACTCAGCAACTGTTGGGTGAAATCTGCAAGGATTTCTTGAGAGGGCAGAGCCTCCAGGCTTTCAGCCAAAGCTTTGTGCCCAGGAAGGTGTAAATAGGACCATGGTTCCCCAAGGGGATGTTTATCTGTGGCTGTATGGAAGAGACCATACATATGTGGTCTGGAAACCTCAGACCACTCAGGAGAGCTCTCTTCAACCCATGCTTTACAAAAGATCCTTGAGAAGAGCCCAGCTAAATTCTAGTCTGACAAGTAATTATCAGAAGGGTATTTGGAACAGGAGCTCTCAAGCTTGATGCTCTTGGCACTTCAGTATTGGGGAGTGGCCAGTCCATAGCTCCTACTCAGGAGTTTGAAAATAATGCTACCAGATCCTGACCCCATAGGGAGAACAATCTCAGATTTGTAACCTGCCCATCCAGCTGGCCTGCAGAGGCAGATAAACCTTAACCTGCTCCACATTCTTCTCCAGGGGACGGTTCTAGCTTCCCTGAGCCAGGATCTGATTAGGGGCTGTGAAAGGGCTCCTTGCAGTGGTGGGACTGGGGCTCAGGCTGTGTCTTAGCCTGACCTAGGGAGAGAGGAAATTCTAGACCATGATGCGCCACTCAGCAGGTGGCAGGGTGGTTCTAGATAAAGCCACAAGCCAAGGGACAGTTTGTACTGGGATAGAGCCTGCTGGGACTGCTGGCCAGGCATCTGAGAAGGAGAGGAGAATATTGGAGACAACCACAGCCATCAGTAGCATGGCTGGCCAGGGGCGGACTCCAGACCCTAGCTGGGCCACTCATGAATTTGGGATTGGAATTCCGAAAGAGCCAATTAATTTCTGTGAGTGGTTATATAACTGAGGTGATATACGGGGCAGCTATTTTCCACCACGAGCAGGAGAAAGCTGAATGAAGGAGACACACAGAGACATGGAGGGACCAAGAGAGAGGAAGAAGATGGCTTTGCTGTTGACAGCTTTCCAACACTCTTGTATCCTTAATAAATTTCCTTTATCAGGTAGTATGAGATGGCATCTCTAGTTGCAACCAAAAGAAACTTGGATGAGAAAGAATTTACACAGGGCAAGTTCTGTGTCCATCAATTACCCTCTGCTGAGAGAGAGACATACACCCAACAAATTAATTATAAATGATGCAATGAGTGTTGAAATCAGAGCAGAAGTCCAATTCCAAAAACAAAAAAACAAAAACCAAAACAAACAAAAAGTCCCATTCCAATTGGAATGAAGAACAAAGCAATGAAGGAGAGCCCACTGGTAACCAAAGAAAAGCCCATCAAAACAAGATTTTCTTCTGAGATTGCTAAAGAGATTTAAAAACAGTAATACTCGGAAGCACCTGGGTGGCAAAGTCAGTTAGGCATCTGACTCTGGTTTTGGCTCAGGTCATGATCTTG